CCGCTCCTGCTGAACTGTGCTGAGACCGCTGTTGTTTTAACATCTCCTCATCACTGCTGATGGCAGGGCGGCGGAAAATCAACATTAGTTTCCTCTTGCAACGAACAAGAGAAAACAACAACAAATCAACACATTTAGCCAACAGTGCAGTCAGTTTAGATACACTTTTGAATGGGTCCGCGGATGTTAGAAACCAAGTTCGACCAATGCTGCGTACACGTAGCCTTCTGCAGGCGCAGATGTTAGAAACCAAGTTCGCCCAATGCTGCGTACACGTAGCCTTCTGCAGGCGCAATGAGTAAATCCGTCATACTAGCACCAGGAAAATCACAAGGACCTACCATCCCAACACCCTACAATGGTGCGCTTTACTCCCCTTGTCAACATGGAACATGAGGGAACCCGACTGCCAATCTCGTGCACTCTCGGCATGAGGAAATGGCAAAGAGGAAACCTCCTGTACTAAAGGAGGAACACACACGTGGGGAACCCAAACGGCTATCCGATTTAGAGGAGTCTCCTTTTGGGGACCTTCAGTGTTAATTTGCCAGTGCGTACATGTGGATTCCCTTCGAACTGTTTGCCTGCTTGACTCCCAACAACCCTGTCTTCCTCAATCAAACCTCAGACTCACGCAGAAACACATCCTCAATGTGTCAACAGTGGGAAGAAGGCTTCCCGGAGGAACGCAGCCATGGGGTGGATTCCCCGTTCTGGATTACGTCCAAACAGGTAGACTGCATGTGCCAATAATAAGCAACATACAGCACGCCTCATCTCCTCATACCCTGGGCAAGACCAAGTCACCCACAAAATGATTGGGCTTCTGACGGCTTTTACTGGCTCCAGAGTGACACTCTCGACGTCTACATCCCCAAGTTCAAAAGCGATCTTGAGACCCCCAGAATCATGTTCAGCTTGACGCAGTTGAATGTGGTGACCCTTCAGATCAGTATTACAGAAACTTTCCAAAGCAACTGGGAAAGAATTTCATTAGACACTCGAACATAAACAAAACAACGTTGATCGCCAGATTGCCGCTGTTTGCCCAGATTAAAGCCTACAACCAGCCACAGTTGCTGGGCGAAAACCCACTGACGATCCGGGTGGTCGGATTTATGTCCAAGGCGCCGCCGGCAGCAGTGTCATCTCCGGCACCTGATGCCACTCATAATCAACTCGGCTCAAAAAGGCCCCATATCGAAGTTTAAGCAACTTCCACTTTGGAAGATGCCACGGGATTGACGCCGACCCTCAGGCTCCCGATCTTTCTTGGGGGTATGAAGTCATGAGCCTTGTGGGTAGCTAAACAAATCCCAAATGCCGCCCCCTGAAAGACATACTTTCCATGCCCGACGCCAAATTGCTTGGAGGAATCCAGACTCCACGTTTTGCAGGAGGCATGTTTCCACCCAAATCAGGACGTCTTTGGACAACCCGGGCGCCAAAGCAGGTGTCTTAAAGATATCCTGAGGGAAAACACAAACAAGGACTCCAGCGGTCAATCAGCCATTGTGCACTCGATCAGAGGGCAAAGGTATCTTAGTGAAAGAGTACCCGCAAGCGTCCTTGGTGCCAAGCGACACTTCCCATTTGCTTGTTTAGAACTAGCAACTCCCTGCTCTCGGCTGCTCGTACAAGTTGCAACTACGTTTTTGTGGACGTGTTTGAGAGTGCAACTGAAATCCTGGGAATCATCTTGACTTCCTAGAAAGGGATCCCAGCATTTGTCTCTAAGAGAACCGCCAAAATGGATGGTGTCCCTCAGGTTTCCGAATAAACCACCCCAAAAAGGGTACCCTCCCATCAAAGGGGGCCTCACCCACAACAAAAAGTCCCACACTTCAAAAGGCATGCCACTGAACCGCAAGCGGAAGCCTACCAGCCTCGGCTCAAATCACCAGGTCAAAACTGGTTAAAACCAAAGGGTAAAAGCAACACCAGGTGATCCCTTTGCAACCCCTGGAATGTCAACAACTTTGTTGTCTGCACCAAAAACCAACAAAAAGCAAGCCGAATTTTATCCGACTTCGTGACTGGTGGAGGGTCCCAGGCTCGATTCCTCCCAGCGCCGTTTTGAAGCATTGAGCTTTGGTTTCGGCTGGGCTGAGGGCGGGTGTTAGGTGGGCTTAACTTTTGGCTTCGGCTGTGTTTAAGGTTGGCTGCGCGCGTGGCGCAGGCTTGGGATTCTTGCAGGCTGGTTCAGGTGGGTTTGGTGCCGGTGTTCGGTGTTTCTGTTGCACTTTTTTGTGTGGGCTTCAATTTCGTGTTGGGTTTGGCTATGCCGCTGGAGCTGCTGTTTCGGCTGGGATTAAGGTGGGTGGGGTTTATCCGATTTTTGGGCGGGCTGTGGATTCGTGTTGGGTTTGCTTCGGGTTTACCTTGCAGGTTTGAGCTTTGGTTTCGGGCTGTTTGTGATGCTTCCGCCATACGCATGTGTTGTTTTCAGAATGAGCTGAAGGCTCGAAGTGACCAAGAGCACTGAACCAATTGCTATCCTGTGAGCACCGTTCAAATCCGAGCCAGGAACGTGCACGAAAGGCACGCCAGGATAATCTCAACATGCCGCGCGCTTTCGCGCATGCATTTTTCGCCTCCGCGGGCCCTCGTTGTTACGCAGCTGCTCAGAGCTTGGGATTTGTTAAGAGCCCTCAACTGCACAGAAATATCTCTTCTTTCCTAAGAATCATCCAGAAAATATGGCCAACAAAAAGAAGGTCTTGTTTCATTTGAGTTGTTGCCGATGTATGTGTTTCCATGTCCGATGGCATTTCAAAGGCGGCATGTACTTGAGGAACTCGGTTTTGTCCCGCGGTTTTCTGTGGGGATCAAGCTTTTTTAGTTTCTTTTACACCACCCGGCGGGAAGAGAAGCGTAGTTTAAATACGTGTGAACTAACAATGGCATTAGTGTTTTGAGGAGGTTCTTCAACAAAACAAGGTTTAGCGAGTCTGCGTTGCATATGGTCCAACGGAAGGTACTAATTATGTTCACACATACATGGCCATACTGTTTCAGAGCTTGACACACCATGTCTTGCTTTTTCCTGCCGGGGGGAAGGGCAACTGCACAACAGCGGTTTGCCCGGCATCGCCAGGCGTCCTTTCTTTTCTTTTTGTTGTTTTCCGACGGGTTGTGGGGCAAGAAACAAGTTTCAGGCTTGCAGAGTCTCCCAAAGCCGTTTCACGCGTTGTTTGTTAGCAGGGGGGCGAGTTGTACACTGCCGCAGCCTTTACAACAAAGTTGCTAATTGCTTTGACTCTGCAGTTCATTTGAATATCTCAAGAGCTCTGAAAGCCTGTAGTCCCAGCAAATACCCCTTCCCTTGAAGTTGATAAACCAAACCACCATGGACGCCGTTGTCCCTTTGCTTCCCAGCCAAAAACAAAAACAAAAAGCGGCCACCTGCTAACCTCCCTCCAAGATTCCTCTACGAGTACTTGGTTTGCGCAAGCTCGGCGACGGCTCGCCGAAAGCTCGCGCCTTGTGGCTGGAGAGCAACGCGCTATCCACGAACTGAGCGCAGATAGAGCCCACGCGCAGCGCCACCTGCGGGGCTCGACGGGGGATGATCTGGACTTCGGCTCGGGGCTGGGTTTACCATTGTCTAATCAAGCGATATAGTAAACACACCCCTCTGTCTATATATGCAAATACGTAAATACACCCGTCTGCGCTATGGTTTGCCAAGCTGAACTAAGATCAACAGAGATCCTTCGCCCCACCAAGCCCCTGTAAAACATCCTAAACCCTTCAATCGCACAGGACCCCCTAGCAAGCTTGCAAGCCCCCAAACATCTATAGTTGATGATCCTCAACCCCCCAGCCGGACCCACCCCGCAAACCCTTCAAACCATCAACATTTACCACGGGGCCCAAACAACTGGAACAGGTTGTGGTGGATCGTTGAAGAAGATGGGAGCAACAAATAAATTAGTAGTCATTGAGCCCCCCTTAGCAATCTGTGCATTCACATGCCATGAACAAAGAACATCCCTTTTTGAAGGAACCTCCTTTTGGGACACCCTCAAAAAAGGCTTGTTCCTTTGCAACGCAACCCCGGAATCCCCCTCTTGGCTTCCCGGCAGAGAGCGCTCCCAGGGCGAAGGGTCGCAGAGAGGGGCTGAAAGGCGCACCCCACCTGCACACGCCCGGGTCAGGACATGCACCTCAACAGGGCCAGTTTGAGGGCCATGCCGAGAGGAAATCAACACTTTGGGACCACCAAAATCAATGAGGCAGTCTGGAAAGGAGAGCCAAACTGGGCAGACACTCACTAACTTAGCACTAGAAAAGCGGGAAGTCAAGCATAAGTATTCAATTTCTTGTGGGGCACGTGTTGGGGTACTATGTCTTTTGAAAACAAAGCTCAAGTCTGACATGAAAACTGTCCTGTGTCAAAACCAGTTGGCATCCTCCAAACATGGGTGGAAACTGAACGAGAAACCAAGCATATGTTTGGTGTGTCCATAGTATGCCTACAATATTTCCGGCATACACGTCGTTATTACAGCTTTGTCTAATGAAAGTTGATTCTAGTTGCAGCTGCTTCAAACCTGATTATTTGTCCGGTGCAATTCTATTAGACGTCTACTATTTGTCTGACATTGGTCTAGCATTTGCCTAGCACGTGTCTAGCATATGGCATATGTATATATATATATATGATTCATATATATATATATATGTCTAGCTGGTATATCAGTTCCAGACACGTGTAACTCTTTGCTAGTGGAGGCCCAAGTGTGATGTATCTAGCGACTGTCTGTGTTGTCTGCATACTGTGTTCTATTCTTAGTGCGGTTTCTGCACCGTTTTAGTATGTGGTGACCATATTCATATGTCCAGCACCCCCAGAAAACACAAGGCAAAAGAAACGCTAATAGCCCCTAATCGGCCTTACTTGGTGGCTACTGGCGCATTGGGATTGGGGCTGTGTTTCTCCGGCTATCCCAAACAAAGCAGCACCCAGCTCGCCGAGGTGCACAGTGGTCAAGACGTTGAAGACCCCAGTGGAGACCTCGCTGACGCGCATAAAAATGCTCGTCTCTTGGTGAAAACACGGTGGCCCTTTTTCGGAGCTTTCTCAAGGGGCTTCCCCCCCAAAAAAAAAACGATGCCCTTTTGGGGGATTCCATATCCGAAGGACAGTCCCGGATGTCCACTCGCACAAGTTTGGGAGACCGAGAAACACTGTTTTGTGTTTTTGTTATCCTCGAAGCTAAGGGCGGTTTAACAGACCTCCCTCGGGCTTGTCTCCACTTCAGGCAGGAAGGTGCGACGTCCAGAGAAGGAAGCCCAACTCTGGGGGAAGGTCCTCCTATGACTTGGATTTCTGCTTTTCGAATCCAGGGATCCACTCTCATGGGACCTCTCAAGTGGCACAATTTCACGTTTTGACTTTCACTAAGTATGGACCATAATCTACAAATGTAATTTTCAGGTGAGGGTCAACACGCGAGGTAGTCTTTGGCATTTCAGAACGGAGTTCATTTAACCGGGTTTTTGCGAGGTCCTACATCAAACCTGTTTACTGTAAACCTCTTAAAACACCCCCCAAATGCAAAGGTTTGATGGGGACGGTCCTGACAAAGGGTTCCAAACAAGGCAGGCTCTTTTTTAACAGAGGGGGATGGCAAAAGGCCGCCCCGCATTCAGGTTGGGACCATCCCCCATGCCTGGACCAGCTGAGAGCTTCTTGCAGACATTTGGAGACGGACCATTGCCAGTGCCCTTTCTCTTCCCTTTTGAGGGTAGTGGAAAGAGTCCAGTTGGATTCCCCTCGATTCGGAGGCAACCCGTGCCCAAGGCTCGCTTCGCCGCGACCCCCGGACCAGACTGGCTCCGGGGCTCTGGGGCTCCGGGCGCTGTTGAAAAAACACACGCAAGCGGCCGCCAGCAAAGGCCCTTGTGCTCCGGACTCGATGAGACCTCAAAGCTTCCTGTTGAAATTGGCGTTAAGAACGAAACTGTTTGTTGCTTTCAAGTGGGAAAGATCGATTGGGGTTTCAGTTCTGCGGATTCTGCTTGTCATGTCCCTTTGGTTTCTTTTGGGCTTGCTTTTCCGTTGGCTTGTTGGGGGTGAAGCCTCTTCCAACACTGGAACAAAAGCGCCCCTTGACACTCTGGCTAATTTGCTTTGTTTGTTCAAACTAGCGTGCAGCCTGAAAGGGGATCGGATCCCGAAAGGAGATTTCTCTACGAATGTAGATTTTGCGAGGTTCCATGTGGCTCCGCAGGGGAGTGAAACTCAAGCGGCTCCCTCTAACGAATTCCACCAAATTTCCTTTGAGGGAGGAGTTTGAATTTCCTTTGCCAAACAAATTGGCCATTCCCTTATTTGTCGGGCCACCTTTCCTAAATTTCATCTCCCCCACTTTCGGCTGGAAACAACCTTGGAAGCAAGCTGCCGCGATTCGCGGGAATCTCCCATGTGAATTCGGAATACAGTTCCACTATAAGGGGCTCCTTGTTTTTCAGGCAAATGGGAGCCTTGACCAATGCTAATCTTCAAACCACTACAAAGGGGGCCGTTTGTATTCTCGAAATCCAAGGGAAGGATTCAGGATTTCCTTTGACAAGCCTGTTTTTTCAGGTTCTTCGGTTCTTTTCCAAAGTCAAACTCACCGAAGAAGGGCAGTGGTCTTAAGCATATCTTGGCAAAAAGGTCAAGAAAAACACGATTCCACTTCAGGTTCTAAACCAGTTATAGCTGTGCCAGGGCCCTTCCACAAGCAACAAAGGCGAATGCGCATGTTTTGCAGAGGGTACCCCTATAGGTGATATGTTGGAGACAAATCAATCTATTCGTATGCGGGGATGACAACCAAGGGGCCCCGGGATCCCGCCCCACATGCTCCAAGCCCTGAACCCCTGGTCAAAACATCTCTCTGGGGCATGCACTTATACTGAGACAGCTCAGGGATGTGCACAGGAGCCAGAACCTGGGAGATGTGTGTCCTGCTTGCTCCCAACTTACTCCAAGTGACCCTCTGGGGTGTTAGTTTGCTTGACCAAAAAACTGAGATTGATTCATCTGGGGGCCACTGTATACGTGCGCTGTCTTCCAGGTACCCACAACCTTTTGACACCTGAGGTGGATGCCCACTTTGCAAAGGCTGCTATGCAGGAATACACCAGAACCAAGTGAAGCCTTGCGCTGGGAGAAGCCTTGGGAAGGCTGAGAAAACGGCTGGACATCCCCTCGAGTGTCGGCACAGGCACCGGGCAACCCATGAAGCCCATCCCAAATGCAACAGGCTCTTCCCGTCAGGCTGGGATTCGTCCCCATTTCCGCATTTTTAGGACAGATCTTACTTAGAAAAGCAAGTGCGACAGGTCTTTGCCAAAGCGCCAAAAAACACTCCTCATCACAGAGGAACAATGACACCGCTTGCACCCACCTGGTCCTCCCCTATTTGCAACTCCCTCTGCTGTCCTTGGCTGTTAAACAAATGAGTCTGGGCGTGTTTGTTCTCGAGAAGAAACAAAATCAGACACCTCCCCCTCCGCCTATTTGGAGACAACCGCCTTTCTCAACCCCGGGAATGGCTAAAACCATGCCCCTCCTCAATTCATGCATTGTTTGAGTGCCGCAGCTCTGGTATCACAAAGGTCCCTGAAGGCTTCCTCATGGTGGCTTTCCAGCCTGACTCTAATCCCACCCAAACTAGTGCTTGTCTCAATCAGCATTGGATCCACTGCGTCCATTGCTCTGCGTTTGTCTGTTTGGGTGCGACATGGTGTGCCTTTTCTGGGATTGGCTTCAAGGCAAAACAGAATCTGCCGAGGTGCGCCAGCAGCCGCCAAGGCTGCAGGCACCGAAGCAGCAGCACTGAGGCCACACAGCCAGGCACACCTGGCGAGTGGATGGGCTCCTCCAATTCAGTATGTGACTCAGAATCCGGATTTGGGCTTGTCTCAAAATCGAGAACTCCCAATCCAGAAAGAATACCCTCAAGAACGCACAAACACACACACACACACACACATTGGAAGCCCTAAAATGGGTGAAGTCGCCTTTTGTTTCCTATTGTTCTCCTAAAACACAAACGCGTGGCCAGCTTAAGTACAAAAAGGGTATACTTCAAAGGGCATACTTCTTCAGGCTTTGGAAACCGTGCTTGGGCATGCCCATCAACTCCAAATGCCCCGGCCTCTTTTCAATTGTGTGTTTCAATCAGCTACACTAGCTTTTTTCGCGGCATGGATTTCAAACTTTTGTGGTACTTTTCAAGGGCATTGCTCACCACTTTTCAAGGTGTTTCTTTCCCGCCCTACCTCCCGTGGTCGCCTTCTTGAGAGCTGTTCCCTTCCCTTCCGCCATTCGATTCCAATGGCTGTTCCTGCCACTTGGCGGAGCACTTTCGTCAGGACGTTGAGATCATTTTGTGCCGCCTCACCCGACAACTTTTGGACAACCTCTGACTGGAACATGGTATCTGCCCATAGGATAGCGGGTACCTGCCAAGACCCGTAACGTGGGGAGAATCGAAGATGCTCATATCCCGGATTTATGAAAGTCCCTATTTTTACTCAGTGCTTTCAGGCAAGTCAAAGGAGAAGGAGACAAGCGTCATGAAACATAAATATACAATCTAAGCATGAAATGGTCAGTTACCCTCCCGGAAACGGACATGGCTAAGACAAAGTTGAACCTTCAGGGAGTACATACAGCACACCCGACAAATTTGGCCGTTCCGCGGTGACCCGAACGCTCGGAACGAGTCAGTTACGTAAGGTCTGTTGTTCCGGGCCTATGGGAAGACATGTGTGGAGCCCTCAAGCACGCGTTCATGTAGTGTAGGGGGGGTGGATGGGTGGGCGGGCGGCTGGATGAATTAAGGGACCAGGGGCGCACGGTCTCGCGACACTGCCCTCCTGGCATCATTGTCACCTTTGCATCATTGCGATGACTTCGGTTCGAGTTCGAGACGCCAATGCTTCTTTCCTGAAGTGGTGGGTTGGGACACCGATGCCAGCCATGGCAGGCGGCAAGGATCGTCCAGGTGACCAGCGTAAGGGCAAGAATTCTCGCTGCGGAGTTAACCCAAAAAAGCGGAGCACACGCCCGACTGGCGGCGGCGGCGCAAGCAGCCAGACAAACAAGGTAAGCAATGTATGAAGCGGTGCTGCTGAAGCTGGAGTTTTCAAGACCGCGTAGGTCAAAGTTTGTGCCCAGAACGCCCCCCAGACCTACCAGCCGAGACCGCGCCTCAGGGCGACTTGTGAAGCTGGTCGTTCCTAGTTGCTACACACCTCCTATCCTGGCGTCACAAGCGTGAATGGAAGGTAGTGGGTGGACAACGAACGCCCCTGATCACAGCCAAGGTTTACAGTTATGCGAGCTGTGACTTCGCCTGGCACACCGCTTGTAAAGGAGCTTGTTTTGCTCAGCTTCGTTATGCTCAGTCACTGTTGGCGCGGTTGTCGTCACGAGTCACCACCTTGATCTGGCGCAAGTCCGCAGCTTAGAAAGCCAAAGCAACACTTTCTCTTCCAGCACTGAACCCTCGATTGCGGAGAAGCGACCATGTGATACATCTGTGGCTCCTGACAAACACAACCGCGCAAGACCTGGAAGGGTGAACCGAAGAACATCGGCGGCCAACCAAAACCTTGAAGCTGAAGCTCGCCAACGGCCCAAACCTGAAGAGCGGTTCCTCCACCTCGCCTAAATTGTTGCATGGGTGGTTCCACTGCCTAATTTGAAGATCTCACTTTCAAAGCCCTCCTGCCAACAACAATCCGCCAGCGCAAGACAAAGTGCTCGGCGCAAGAGACGGCAGTTGATCAATGCCTGCTTCCGGGAAATTCGGCTGAAATCGTGAGAAAATATGTCTTTTTCGCGAACCTTTCGCGACTCCATCACCATGCCCTTTTCGTTGCAGCGTGCGTTCCGGAGCTATTGTTGCTGCTGCAGGCATGCTTGCAAACACAGCTGGCAACCACAGTAAAACAAGCATTCCACATGCTCCTGCAAGCCCCAGGGGAAACGCTCAAGGAAGTGACAACCTGAACCGGTACTCTAGCCTGGCAATTGCTCACATAAACCAGGCCTGGAACGAAAGGTCTGGAACATCTTTCTAGGCAAGGTCTGGAACGAAAGTCTGGAACACCGGTCCGGATCGAGTGTGGGTTCCGGACCCTGTTCCGGACCTTTCAAATTGACTCACAGCCAATTTGGATTATCTACAGGATCCGGCAACTCTGAACATCCCGGCACAATCATGAAGAAGTGCTGCTTCCCGAACAAGGGCGAGAGTGTTCAAAAGGCATGGAAACGCACGCAAATGTCTCCCTCGGGTGAGGGATCACACTTATTCAAAAGAAAGCAAGACGGAAACAAGAAAACCCAAATAGGCATGAAAGTCCCGGCTTCATCCTCCGGCCTGAGAGTGCGTAGGCCACGGCCGCCAAATACCGGTGCTCAAGGCCGACCTCCTCAAAGAGTTTCAGGAGCCACGTGGACAAGCCGTACCTCCGAGCCGTGTGCAAGTTCCCCCCTCCAGAACCCATGGCAGGCCTTTCATGCAATCAAGCCGCTGCCAACACCATGGCCCATTGCACCGCCCAGGGTTCTTACGCAGACCATAGCTAAGGAAACCATTTACCATAAGCTTTTACTCAAACGGAGTTTGGTCTTTTTGCAACCTCTTGACCAAATGTCGCGGCTTGACATCCCAAAAACAAAAAGGAGTTGACAGGTACCTACATGCCGAGGAAATGGTACATGCATGCATAAAGACATACAAACGAGTTTGCCGTGGTTCACTTTTGTCAGCAGTAACACCTGACAAGTATCCAACTCTTCCTTGGGCCCTTCTTCAGGTTGGTTTGAAGCGAAGCTTTGACACACACACACACACACAGTTTGGACCAGAACTCTTCGAGGCGCCATGCAAAGGCGATGGAGAAGCAGATGGTCCCCAGGCGCAAGGCCACCGGGCGCAGAGGCCACTGCAGCAAGGGTTTCAGTCCTGGAAACGGCAGATGAGGACCTCTGCCCCTTTCTGGAGCCTTTCTGGAGCTATCAGGGGCATATACCGAGGGTGATTTCCCCCTCTCCAAATGCCCGCCGTTTTGCGGTAGGTTCGAAAAGCCAATTTCTCCTTTGGGTGAAATCCATTTAAGGTTTAGTCATCCTTCCTCACGATACCCTAAAAGAGCTCCAGCATTTGGAGTACCCTGCATAACTCACGCCCCACCCATGCACTGAACTATCCACTGCACTTCTTGGGACCCCTCAGCCCTTGACAACGGAGCCCAGTTTTGCTCGAGAAGTATTGGGAATCTGGACGAATTGATTGAAATGCTGCATCTTCTTGTTTCTCTTGGGGATTTCCAATAGTCGGGTCATTTGGCACCCGAGATCAGCACACCCCACACCCACTTTTATTTGAATTTGGACCTGGCCTTCCTTGGCAGGACTGTGCTACCGCCGTCACATCTCTGCTAACTTCCAGTTTGGGCCTCGTTAACTAAGGATGCTGTGGAACTAACCAAAAGAACGCACCCCCAGACGGATCAAGCCAAAGCAGGTTCCCGTGGAGGCAAAGTCTTGAGGAGATCCTGCAATTTGAAAGGGAGGACGACATAAACCATTGTTAGGGCACTTCCTAATTTATCCGCCGACCCCTTCTCCTCAAAGGGGAGGCGCACGGGAAGGGTGGTTGCAGTACAAGCGCATGGATTAATCTTTGAGGCAAGCGTATGACTACTGGCATCATACGGATGCCCATCATCATCATCATCATCATCATCGATATGATCCTTCATCATTCTTATCGTCAACATCATCATCATCATTTCTATATCCTTCAACATCATCATCCCTTATTAGCCGGCACTGGTGATGCCGAGGATGTCATCATCATGTCTTATTAGGCAGCACTGGTGATGCAAGGGTGTTATGATGATAGTTATCATCGTAATCATCATCATGATCATCCCTATTATGATCCTCATCATCATGATGATGATCATCATCTCATTCTTATTCTTATTCTTCTATCATCGTAGCATCCTCTGCATTACCAAGGATGCCTAACACCACATTTGATATGTATATAGAAGAAAGATAGAAGAATAGAAGGAAGAGATGATGATGATGATGATGATGATGACAAGCATGATGACGATGATGACGGCGATGACTATGATGACAATCATCATGAAGATGATAAGGATGATGACTCTTATGACAACTATCATCGTAGCATCCTCTGCACTGCCAAAGCTGCGGATGACTGTCATGATAACTATCATCGTAGCATCCCCTGCATTACCAAGGATGCATTTCAAATGTATATAAAAGCAAGATAGAAGAAAATCATGATGACGATGATGAAGGCGATAACTAGGATGACAATCATCATGAAGATGATAAGGATGATGACTCTTATGATAACTATCATCGCAGCATCCTCTGCATTACCAAAGCTGCGGATGACTGTCATGATAACTATCATCGTAGCATCCTCTGCATTACCAAGGATGCCTAATACCGCATTTGAAATGATAGAAGAATATCATGATGACGATGATGAAGGCGATGACTATGATGACAATCATCATGAAGATGATGAGGATGATGACTCTTATGATAACTATCATCGTAGCATTTTTTGCATTACCAAAGCTGCGGATGACTATCATGATAACTATCATCGTAGCATCCTCTTCATTACCAAGGGTGCCTCGCGATGATCATGACTACGCATCATTATCGAAACGGCACCTCGCCTCAGATGCCATTTGTGCCATTGAGATTTGGAGTCCTGCCTTGATGATAATCATCACTACGCATCATTCGCAGCATCTCTGGCAATCATGAGGATAATCATCACTACGCATCCCCAGCATCTCCAGCAGCGATGATCATAATCATGACTACGCATCACTGTCGAAACGGCACCTCGCCTCAGATGCCATTTGGGTCAAAAAGAAACCAAAGAAACCAAAACCAAGGGCACTGTTTTTGGTTGCTCGAAAACCACAACTAACATCCAGGGGTCGGCGGCACTGGGCGGCAGCCCTTAAATCCGGCCACCGGACGTGATCGGGCCGCAGGCCAAAGCCCGTTAGGGCTTACCTTCAGGTATAAGGCCGCGCGCCCCATGCCGCCGACCATGCGCGGACCATGCGCATACGTTTTGTGCTGGGCCCTCCCTTATAAGGGGCGAAGGATTCGCGGATTGGTTTAGGCGATTTTTGTAGCATCTCCCCGCAGCGCCCAAAAACGAACATTTTTAGGGGGTGCCTAATACTGGACAACGCCCCCAGCATTGCCAGCATCATCCCGGATGATGCGGATGATGTTATGCATGCCGGCGATGCGGGGGATGCTGGGGATGTTGTCCCCTAAGTCGGGCCAATTTGCAACCTGAAAATCTTAAAATCTAAAGTGGATGGAAATGGATGGAAAATGGCCTGGATTGAAATCTCAAAATCCTAAAGTCTTAGATTCTTAAAATCTTAAATTAATATCTAACAATCAATCTTAGAATCTCAAGATCTTAAAATCTTAGAACTTAGAATCTTAAAATCTAAAAATATAAAAACTTCCTAAAGTCTTCGAATCTTGAAATCTTAAAAACCTTATGTCTTAGAATCTTGAGACCTTAAACTCTTAAAATATGAAATCTTAGAACCTTAATTCTTAAACCATTGAAACCTTAAATTCCGAAAGTCTTCAAATCTGAGACCCTTAGAATCTCAAAGTTTTTAGAATTTTAAAATCTTAACATCTACTCATCGGACTTACAGGAAAGGGAAGTGACAGAAACCCTCATGTCTTTGAATCTTCAGATGTTAAAATCTTAAAATATGAAATTCCTAAATTCTCAAAGTCTGAAAATCTCAGAATCTTAAAAGCTTCAAAAACTTAAATTCTTTAAATCTCGAACTATTGCAGTCTGAAAATCTTAAATTCATAAACAAGTAAAATATAATAAAATTCCTTCAATACGGGCTATTTTCTTCTAAATTCCTTAAACTCTTAATCTTCAACTTTTGAAGTCTTGACATCTTAAGATCTTAAAATCTTAAATTCCGAAAGTCGCCAAATCTGAAAATCTCACAAAAAAAAGAATCTTAAAGCCTTCGAAATCTGATAATGGATGGTAAATGGCTGGGCAATGGCCTGGCTGTTATAACCTTCAAAAGCCTTAAATCTTCGAATCTTAAAACCTTAATTCTTCAACCATTGAAACCTTAAATTCCGAAAGTCTTCAAATCTGAGACCCTTAGAATCTCAAAGTTTTTAGAATTTGAAATCTTAACATCTACTCATCGGACTTACAGGAAAGGGAAGTGACAGAAACCCTCATGTCTTTGAATCTTCAGATGTTAAAATCTTAAAATATGAAACTCCTAAATTCTCAAAATCTGATAATCTCAGAATCTTAAATGCTTCAAAAACTTAAATTCTTTAAATCTCGAACTATTGCAATCTGAAAATCTTAAATTCATAAACAAGTAAAATATAATAAAATTCCTTCAATCCGGGCAATATTCTAAATTCCTTAACCTCTTAATCTTCAAATTTTGAAGTCTTGACATCTTAAGATCTTAAAATCTTAAATTCCGAAAGTCGCCAAATCTGAAAATCTCACAAAAAAAACAATCTTAAAGCCTTGGATGGAAAATGGCTGGGCAATGGCCTGGCTGTTATAACCTTCAAAAACCTTAAATCTTTGAATCTTAAAACCTTAATTCTTCAACCATTGAAACCTTAAATTCCGAAAGTCTTCAAGTCTGAGACCCTTAGAATCTCAAAGTTTTTAGAATTTTAAGATCTTAACATCTACTCATCGGACTTACAGGAAAGGGAAGTGACAGAACGGGCAGGGCAAGGTGCCCGGTGGCCGGCTGTGTCGCGTCAGCGTGTAAATCCGGCCACCGGACGTGATCGGGCCGCAGGCCAAAGCCCGTTAGGGCTTACCTTCAGGTATAAGGCCGCGCGCCCCATGCCGCCGACCATGCGCGGACCATGCGCATACGTTTTATGCTGGGCCCTCCCTTATAAGGGGCGAAGGATTTGCGGATTGGTTTAGGCGATTTTTGTAGCATCTCCCCGCAGCGTCCAAAAACGAGCATTTTTAGGGGGTGCCTAATACTGGACAACACCCCCAGCATTGCCAGCATCATCCCGGATGATGCGGATGATGCTATGCATGCTGGCGATGCGAAACAAGGGGCTTAGGGGAAATGCAAGGGAAACAGCATGAAGAAGGCACTGGAGAGGAAACAAAATGCCGGAAAATGCAGGCAGAACGCGAAGGGAGCCGGAGGATGGGAACGAAAAGAAATTGTTGCGAAGAGAAACTGAAGGAAAGGAGTGCGAGCAGTGAAGGGGCGTTCAAGGAGATGAAGGGAGCTGACATGAGCGAAAGGAAGTGCAGGGAAATGCCAGGAAACTGCATGACATGCAGCGGAAATGAAGTTCAAATCCCGGGAACTAGCAGGAAGTAAAGGAAAAGGAAATGATAATTTCCGTGCGGGGTCAAAAAACCGAGCGTGTTTTTTTGTTGTTGTTTTTTTGGGGGGGGTGCCCGTAGTGGACACCATCCTTGCAGCACCTGCATCATCCGGACAAAAAGGATGGACAAAAAGGCTGCAAAATTGATGGAAATGAAGGGGCGTTGATGAAAATATTTAGGAATTTGGAGGGACAAGGGATGATGGAAAAGGTGTGGAGGATTGATGGAAAGTTCCTGGACAAGGCATTGCTGGCATGAATGGAAAACGGATTGCAACAGGGAGCAACAACTGAGCATCCATGGCGGACATTGCTTCGGATGATGCAGTCGATGCAGGGGGTGGGGATGCTGGGGATGTTGTCCACGGTGAAGGGGGTTTGTGGGGAAATGAAGGGAAATGGGGGAAATGAAGGGAAATGTGGATGGACATTGATAGACAATTGATGGAAAGTTTGCGGAAAATTGCTGGCCGATGTGTGGAAAATTGGTGCCACTTC